TGTGCTTTGGTTTGGTTTTCCACTAGTGGTGATGGATTTATGCTAATCCATCTGTGTTTAGCATTTCTTGTTTCTATTTTTACAAACCAATGTATTTCTGAAGATTTTTTAAATAATTAAGAAATTTTTAATTGTGGTAACAAAAAAAGCCACATAACATAAAATTTACCATCTTAACAGTTTTTAATTCTACAGGTCAGTAGTGTTCAGTATGTTTACATAGTTGGGCAGCAGCTCTGCAGAACTTTTTCATCATGTAATACTGAAACTCTGTACCTTCTAAATAGCAATATCTCATTTCCCCCTCCCTCCAGCCTCTGGCATCCACCATTCTACTTTCTGTTTGTATGAATTTGATACTTTAAACTCCTCATTTAAGTGGAATCATACAGTAGTTGTCTTTTTTGTGAGTGACATTTCATTTAGCATAATGTCCTCAAGATTCATCCATATTGTTGCATGTGATAGGATTTCCTCCTTTTTAAAAGCCGAATCATACTCCATTGTGTATGTATACTACATTCTATTCATCTAATCATCCATCACTGGACCTTGGGGACTGTTTCTACCTCTTGTCTAATATGAATGGTGCTACAATGAACATGGGTGTGCAAATATCTCTTCGATATACTGCTTTAAGTTCTTTTGGATATATACCCAGAAGTGGGATTGCTGGGTCATATGGTAATGAATTTTGAATTTTTAGGAATCTCCATACATGTCTTTCATAGTGGTTGAACCATTTTTCATTCTTATAAACAATGTACAAGGGTTTCAGTTTCTCTACATCCTTGCCAACACTTTTTTTTTTTTTGGTAGCAGCCATCCTAATGGGTATGAGATGATATCTCATTGTGGTTTTGGCTTTTATTTCTCTAATGATTGGTGTTAATCATCTTTTCATAGACTTGTTGGTCTTTATATATCTTTTTTGGAAATAGCTCTTCAAGTCCTTTGCCAGTTTTTAAATTGGGGTTTTTGTTGTTGTTAAGTTGTAGGAGTTCTTGATGTATTCTGGATTGTAACTCCTCATCAGATAAATGATTTGCAGATGTTTTCCTTTATTCCACAAGTTGCCTTTTCACTCTGTTGATTGTTTCCTTTGATGTATAGAGGGTTTTAAGTTTCATGTAGTCCCATTTGTCTATATTTGCTTTCTTTAACTATGCTTTTGGTGTTCTATCCAAGAAATCATTGCCAAATCCAATGTCATAAAGCTTTTCCTCTGTTTTCTAGGAGGTTTAGGTCTTATGTTTAGGTCTTTAATCTATCTTTAGATAATTTTTTAAAAAGATTTCATTTACTTATTTTTGGAGGGAGGGAAAAGGAGGGAGAAAGAGAAGGAGAGAAACATTGATCAGTTGCCTCTTATATATGCCATGACTGGGGACTGAACTTGCAACCCAGGCATGTGCCCTGACTGGAAATCGAACTGGCAGCCTTTCACTTTGTGGAACAGTGCCCAAACGACTGAATCACCCCAGTCAGGGCTTTAGTTAATTTTTGTATATGATGCAAGGTAAGGATTCGGCTTTATTTTTTTGCATGTGAGTATCCTGTTTTCCCAACAACCCTTTTTAAAATAAAATTTATTGGGGTGATAATTGGTTAGTTAATGCATTATGTAAGTTTCAAGTGTACAATTCTGTAATACATCATCTGTATATTGCATTGTGTGCTCACCACCCAAAGTTTGGTCTTCTCACCACCATATTTTTGGCCCCTTTTACCCACTTCATCCTTCTTCTACCTTCTTCATCCTTCTTCTACCCTCCTTCTCCTCTGGTAACCACCATATTGTTGTCTGCCAACACCATTTGTTGAAGAGACTCTTCTTTCCCCATTGAGTGGTCTTGATGCCCTTGTCAAAAATCATTTGACCATATGTGTGAGAGTTTATTTCCAGGCTGTCTTATTCAATTCCATCAGACTTAATGACTGTCTTTATGCCAGTACCACATTTTTATTACTGTAGCTTTGTAGTAACATGTTATACTTCATCATGTCTCTCTTTCTCACATGTTTGCTTATTGTGTCATATTCTAAGTATTCAGAAAGACCCCCTCCCCCCCAAAAAATAACCCAACTGTGGTCTTTTTCAGTGTTTTGGCTATGTGAGATCTATTCTTGAAATTAAAAAAAAATTTATACATAGCATATATTTACCATTTTAACCATTCATAAATGTACAAATCAGTGTCGTTTAATACATTTACTGTGTTGTGTGACCATCACTATTCTCTACACCCAGACTTTCTCATCATCCTCCAGAAAAACTTTAAACTCATTAAACAATAACTCTCACTTTCCTACTTCCCCCTAGCTGCTGGTAACCTGTCTTCTACTTCCTCTTTCCCATCCCTTTTAACCTATTCTGATATCTATCTATCTATCTATCTATCTATCTATCTATCTATCTATCTTATGCTCTCTTTTGTTGTGATTTATAATGAAAAATAAATATAACAACAGTAAATCAAAGTAATAGGTTTTAAAACTACATATTCATCATTTTCCCATTTCCCCACCTTGAGAGTCACCAGGCGGTGTCCTCAGGCTCAGGGTGCTTGGGAACCAGTAGCATATGTTTGTATACCTGTTACTAGGGGTGAGGTCTGTGATCATGGGCTGCTGCTGCTTTTTTTAAAAAATCCTCACTGGAGGATATGTTTATTGATTTTAGAGAGAGAGGAAGGGAGAAGGAGAAAGAGAAATCGATCTCAATCAGTTGTCTCCCGTATGCACCATGACTGGGGATTGGGCCACAGCCTAGGTGTGAGCCCTAACCAGGAATCGAACCTGCAGCCTTTTGGTGCATGGGACAATGCTCCATCCAGCTTAGCCAACCAGCCGGGGCAGCAGTGGACTTCTTTAGAGCAAAGCTCACTGAAGATGGAATGGGATTCACTAGTTTTCTTAGCTTTAAGTTCTAGTCTACAGAAGTAACTAATCCCAGGCTGACCATTTTGAATACTTAATAAGGAGCAACAAATTAATACAGGTTTAATCACTTGCATTTTCTTCTTAATATATCCATCCATTATTGATTACCAGTTTCCCCACACCTCAGGTATTGCATACATTTGGTTCACATTTTGAAACAATGCTTGACCGAATAGTTTCTTACATACAAATGAGTGGCTTGCTTGGTCAAGAGTATCTTTTGGGTTTTTTCACTTAGTTTTTACAGAAAAATTTTAGAAGTTTTTTAGTTGTATTTTAAGTATAGTAAAATGTACAAATCTTAAGAGTACAGCTCAGTGAATTTTTATACACGTATGCACCCACATAAGTACCACCCAGATCAAGATACAGAACGTTTTACCCTCAAAAAGTTCCCTGTGTTCATTCTGAGAGGGACAGCCTCCCTTTGGAGAAGCGAGGTAATGACATTTTTATTATAATGATATAGTTCTATCTCTAGCAATATTTTTGTCTTAAAGATCTGAATTTCATTCTTCTAAAATCTAATAAAAATGTTTTCTATCAGACCCACTCTATCGACTAGTAAATTCCATGTATTTCCATAGACTTTGGTTGATTCTGCAATTTGACTCAATGCTGTGGAAGGTGGTAAGCCCCAGAATTTCAGCTGCCTTTCTTTAGGTCCCATAGTGGATTATAGAGGCTCTTACTCTTGATGGACTTTTTAAAAAAATTTCCCAGGGCTATCTATTCATTCCTTCATTTTCCTCCCACATTGGGAAGTATTTCATATACATTCTTGGGTTGCATTTCCTTCTTGGGTTGCGTTTTATAAAATGTTTTTTTCTGGTGCTAGGTATAAGTTCTGTAGTCCTTCTCATCCTTTCTTTACCCAGAAATCTTGGGCATTTTTTTTTTTTTTTTTTTTGAGATTTTATGTATTTGCCCTGGCTGGTGTGGCTCAGTGGATTGAGTGCCTGCTTGAGAACCAAAAGGCCACTGGTTTGATTCCCAGTCAGGGCACATGCCTGGGTTGCGGGCCAGGTCCCCAGTAGGGGGCGCATAAGAGGCAATGACACATTGATGTTTCTAGTCCTCTCTTTCACTCGCCCTTCCCGTCTCTAAAAATAAATAAAATTTTATTGGGAAGTGCTGGTGAATGGAGGGCACACAAAGGAATTTTAGTAAGGAAAATTGAAACATCGAAATTTGAATTAGTTCGTTGTGTGAAACTTCTATAAATTGTAAAAATACAAATGCTATTTTTTCCACATTACTAAACATTTAAATTTTTTTATTTATTTTTAGACAGAGGGGAAGGGAGGGAGAAAGAGGGAGAGAAACATCAGTGTGTGGTTGGCGTCTCCTGTGCCCCCTACTGGGGACCTGGCCCACAGCCCAGGCATGTGCCCTGATTGGGAATCGAACTGGTGATCCTTTGGTTCTCAGGCAGGCACTCAATCCATTGAGCCACACCAGCCAGGGCTTGGGCATGTATTTTTAAAATGTTTAGTAATGTTGAAAAAATAGCACTTGTATTTTTACAATTTACAGAGGTTTTGTGCAGAATGAACTAATCCAAATTTTGATGTTTCGATTTTCCTTACTAAAATTCATTTGTGTGTTCTCTGTTCCCCTTGCTCCCAAATTTCTTGCAGCTGTATTTGAGCTGGGAAACCTGAGGAGTGATTAAAAATAGGAAATTGTAGAGGAAGAGAATAGACCCTTGGTTTGGACAGGAAAAACGGGTAGTAAGAAAGACCTTAAGGAGTGGTAAGAGGTAATATTTTAGTAGGTGAATCAGGGGTGTGGATAAGATATTTGAAGTAGACACAAAATATAAGATGACTAAGAAAATATGCTTTCTGAACTAAGAAGATGGTTTGATTCCAGGATTAAAGTTTCTAAAGGAGCAAAACATTTATTTTACAGTTAGATATAGTTTCAGAATACTTTTCTTCTAATCACTAGTTTTGTTTAGGAAAAATACAAAATAAAGCCTGTGGATATCTCTTAGAAATTTTGTACAGAATTCTATTACTATAACAGTAAATATGTGTTTTTTCCTCCTCCAGAATCTCCATGGAAAAAGAGACATGAATGTCTGCAATGATATTTCCTGACAAGAAGTTAATAGGAGGAAAGGAGATCACCAGTTAGAGAAAAGAATTTCAAATAACCAGGATTTTATATTTATTACCTCCAATTATAGACTTCTCTTGCCTACCTTTCAATCAGAGATAACTACAATCAGAACCCAGACAAGGCAAAAGAATACATTTCTTCTGTATCTTCTGAGATCAAAGAAACTACAATGTCTAGGAAACAAAACCAGAAGGGTAAGATTATATGTGGATATAAATTGTTAAAAGCATAATTGTGAAGTAATGATCACCATTTATCTTTTTAAAAAACATTCTCTTACTACTGATAGTTACAACTCTTTGTCATGACAGAAATTAATTTTATTGTTTTAATGTTTCTTTTTATTATATTTTTCCATTACCATTAATCCCCTTATACCCTCTTCTACCTCCACCCATACCACACCCCCACAATCCCCACACTGTTGTCCACGTCCATGTCCATGAGTCTTTTTTCTTTTTTGCTGGATCCCTCGACCCCCTCAACCTTGCACCACCTCCACCACCCCCCGGCATCAGTCTGCCATCTATGAGTCTGTCTCTATTTTGCTTGTTAGTTCCTTTGTTCATTGTATTCCACATATGAGTGAAATCATGTGGTATTTGTCTTTCTCTGACTGCCTTATTTCACTTGGGATAATGTTCTCTAGGTCCATTCATGCTGTCACAAAGGGTAAATAAAATCTTCTCTTTTACAGCCAAGTAGTATTCTGTTGTGTAAATGTACCATAGCTGTTTTATCCACTCATCTCCTGATGGATGCTTGGGCTGCTTCCAGATCTCGTCTATTATAAATAACGCTGCAGTGAACATAGGGGTGCTAATATTCTTTTGAATCAGTGTTTCAGGTTTTTTAGGATAAATTCACAGAAGTGGAATCACTGGGTCATAAGGCAGTTACATTTTTAATTTCTTAAGGTTACACCAAACTACTTTCCCACAGTGGCTGCACCAATCTGTATTCCCACCAACAGTGCAAAAGTGTTCCTTTTTCTCCATGTCCTTGCCAGCATTTGTTGTTTGTTGATTAATTGATGATAGCCATTCTGACCAGTGTGAGGTGATATCTCATGGTTTTAATTTGCATTTCTCTGATGATTGGTGACATTGAGCATCTTTTCATATGTCTATTGGCTATCTGTACATCCTCTTTGGAGAAGTGTATGTTCAGGTCTTTTGCCCATTTTTTAATTGGAGATACTGAATAAGAAAATTGAAGAAGATAGCCCTGGCTGATGTGGTTCAGTGGATTGAGTGCCGGCCTGCGAACCAAAGGGTTGCTGGTTTGATTCCCAGTGTAGGGCACATGCCTGGGTTGCAGGCCAGGTCCCCAGCAGGGGGCATGTGAGAAGCAACCACTTGTTGATGTTTCTCTTCCTCTCTTTGTCTCTCCCTTTCTCTCTCTAAAAAGAAATAAATAAAATCTTTTAAAAAAATTGAAGAAGATACAAATAAGTGGAAGCATATACCATGGTCATGGATAGGAAGAATTAACATCATTAAAATGTCCATACTACCCAGAGCAATCTATAGATTCAACACAATTCCTATCAAGATACCAATGACATATTTAACAGAAATAGAACAAGTAATTCAAAAATTTATGTGGAACCACAAAAGACCTCACATGGCAACAGTGATCTTGAGAAGGAAGAACAAAGTTGAAGGAATCACTCTGCCTAATATCAAACTACTATAAGCCTATAGTTACCAAAAAAGCATGGTACTGACATTAAAACAGACATAGAGATCAATGGAAAAGAATGGAGAGCCCAGAAATAAACCCGTGCCTTTGTAGTCAATATTTGACAGAGGAAACCAACACATACCATTGGTTAAAGATAGTTTATTCAATAAATGGTGTTGGGAAAATTGGACAGATATGTGCAGAAAAGTGAAACTAGACCACCTTCTTACACCACACAAGAATAAATAAAAAATGGTTTAAAGACTTAAATGTTAGACTCAAAAACATAAAAATCTTAGAAGAAAAACATAGGCAGTAAAATCTCATACATTGCTTGTAGCAATATTTTTTCTGATATATCTCCTCAGGCAAGGGAAACAAAAGAAAAAGTAAACAAATGGGACTACATCAAACTAAAAAGTTTTGGCACAGCAAAATTAATTTTAGAGTATGAACATTCATTAACAGTCTGTTATTAAATATCTGTAGATATTACAGTACAGTTTTGTGTATTACTAATTTGTGAATTCATAGAATAGTTGCTTTTCTAGTCTTATAAACCTAATAAATTGGAATATACTTCCAGGAAAGCCAAATGCCTCTTGCAAATGCACTTTTTTTGGAGAATGAACATACGTTAGGGGAAGTGGTAGGACATAATTTACTGCAGGATAGTCTGTGTCCTGTGAGTTGATGTTTCTTTCATTGGAGATAGGAAATGAAGCAAGGGCAAATGCTTCCAGGTTTTGATTCCTTTTTTAGCTTTCCTTCTGAATTATTACTCTAGTTTCTTGTTGAAAGTAAAATATAAGGTGTAAAGAGTCAAGAAATAACAAGAATAGATATAAGTACTATATTTATAGGAAGGACGACAAAGACTTATAAAATCACTTTTTCCAATTTCCTTGAATAGCTGCAAAAACGTTAAGGGACAAATGTAACAATAGCACACAACTGTTATACACAACTGGAATATATTTGCTTTTTAAAAAAGCTTTTATTTATTTTAGAGAGAGGGGAAGGGAGGGAGAAAAAGAGGGAGAGAAACATTAATCAATCGGTTGCCTCCTGCACACACCCAAACCAGAGGCCAGATTTGCACTCCAAGCATGTGCCCTGACTGGGAATCAAACTGGCCTTTGTCCTTGCGGGGTGACTCTCAACCAGCTGAGCCAGCCAGGGCTCAACTGCAATATATTTGTTAAGAGAATGATCAGAGCTATTCTGGCCCCCCCCCCCCCTTCAATTTAATTTTGAGTTTAATGTTTTTTACTTGAAAACAAAGCTGTAGATACAGATCTCACATGTTAAATATGAAATAAATCCTTTTAAACTAATTTTGACTTAGTAGTTCAAAAACTTCATTTTAAGAAAATAATATAACAAAGCTCCTTGTGGTTTGAAAGCTGTCATTTCATTGTATAGTACATCCATACAAAGAAAACCTGGGCTCTAAGAAATGGTCAGATTATTAAAGAGCTGAACTGTTTTATGGAATGAGATTTATCAACTGAAAAGTTTTTATAACCTTTTTGTTTCTTCTTCAGGCTTTAATTTTATCATGATTCAGTTTGCTTTTTTCCTAGTTACGCTTGAAACGCTTGCGTTTTTGTTTTTCTCCTGAAAATGAGAACTACTATAGTAAAAATAGGATTCCAGACTTGAAAATAAAATAATTTCATCTAAAAAGCTTAGCATTTAATTTTTCTTAAAAATGTTAACTTAAAATTGCTTTGACCTTTTAAAAAGTAGATTCTGTTTATTTCATGTCTGTGTCCTTCCAGAGCTTTGAAACTGTCACTTTATAGTATTATTGAAGTCAGGTAGCGTAAGTTCTTCAACGTTGTTCTCCTTCAATATTGTGTTGGCTGCTCTGAGTCTTTAGTCTTTCTATATCAACCTCAGAATCAGGTTGTTTGTCAATGTTTAGTTTGTCAATATCCACAAAATAAATTACAAGGATTTTGATTGGAATTGCTTTTAATCTACAGACCAAGGTGACAAGAACTGACAAACTGACAATATTGAGTCTTACTATCCATGAACATAGATTATCTCTCCATTTATTTAGTTTTTTAAAATTTCTTTCCTCAGAGTTTGGTAGTTTTCTTCAGATAGGTGTTACGAGAGGGGAAAGCCCCAAAAACCTGGAATTTATTTATTAAAAATTGTGGATTTATTCTTACATGTTTAAACCTCTGTAACCTTCCAAGTGCTCCATTTAATGAAATACCCCCGTCAAGACTTTTTTTCCACTGCTCCAACAGTTTTTGAACTTGTCAATTTTGATGCCTTTTGGTGCTTCTGCTGTTCTTTTGTTTCAGCTTTCCTACATCTGTAAAATGTTGCCCTTCGAGGACTTTTTTCATCTGGGAACACACAAAAAAAGCCACGTGGGGTGAAATTGGGTGAATAGGGAGCATGGGGCACAGAGGTCATGTCATTTTTGGTCAAAAACTGATGAACACTCAGCACAGTGTGGACAGGTGCACTTGTCCCATCATGAAATGGGCAAATGTGTTGGAAGAGTCTTAAAAAAATTTCACTGAAGCCAAATGCAGCCTCTCACAACAACACCTGCTGGTACACTGATACAGGTGGGTTCCTAGAGCACTTACCTAGCAGGGGAAGCCTGTACTAGAAGGGGCCTGATCTCCAGAAGATAATTGGGTTTTTTGGAGAGTCCTCCCGTATATACTTTGTTAGATTTATACCCAAGCATTTTGAGGGTGCTCATGTAAATGGTATTGTGTTTTTTATTTTAAATTCCACTTGTTCATTGCTGTTATATGGGAAAGTAATGGGTTTCTGTATATTAGCCTTGTATCTTGCAGCCTTGATATCATCATTATTAGCTCCAGGACAGAATGGGCTAAACAAGTATGTTATTTAAGTAGCAAGTTTCATACCTTCACAAGTATAATTCCTAAAAGCTAGGGTTCATCGTGTGATAATTATAACAACTATTTCAAAATAGAAATATTTATAATTAAAGTAAATTATTGATCCAGAAGAAGCTAGTAGATTTAATTCTTATTTGCGTGAGGTTAATGAGTGAAGAGTGACAGGTTTTGTAGTGTTGTGGGTTTTTTAATGTCTGTAGAGGGTGTTTTGTTGGAGACAGAAGCATGTGATTAGAATTGACTTGTTCATTTCTGTACTTTGAAGCAAGGGGACGGGGTGCTGTAGAGAGGGATGATGTTGTGTATTTGACAGGGCTGAAAGGGACATCCACAGCGAAGGCTTTTACAATGATATGAGAATATCTCTCACATCTAACATATAGTTTTAAAAAGATGATTTCCTCTTCCTCACTTTCCTTCAGATTCTCAAAAATTCTACCAACTAGTCTATACTGATCTTAGTAATTAAAGAGTTGACTTAAAAATTTTTTTAAACATTTATTTGAGAGAGAGAGGAAGGGGTGGGGGTAGCAACATCAATTTGTCGTCCCACTTATTTATGCAGTCATTGGTTGCTTCTTGTACGCACTCTGACGGGAGATCAA